ATCACTATATTATAATATAATAAATGAGATAAATGTGGGAGAGATATGATCTAAAAATGAGCCATATATGGTCCATAAATGAGTCATTTATGGCTCATGTTTCACGGCCTGGGTTACGGTTACGGTTAACCGTTCGACCGGTTATTTACGGTTACGGTTATGACCGGTTACGGTTAACCGTAACCGGTGCATGCCTATCAGAAACATATTACCAAGCAATACATTGGTACACACGTGGATCATTTGTTTATCAAATTTTAAATAAAGCATTGCGTGAACAAAATATTGATATGATTATTTTATTTCGTGCTTTTATTCGTCTTTTACATTCAGAATTACAAGAGAAACAAAAACATATTTCTGAGCCTAATCTACGGCTCTATTGTGGACAAGCTATGGCAACAAATTAAAAACTTAAATAAAAGGGAAACTTTTATCAATGAATTCATTTTTATCAACATCAAAATTTAAGGACGTCGCATTAATTTTTGCTAAATGTGTACCTATTTCCGAACAATTACAAGCTGTTCTATTCGATATTTATATTGAAAATACAAAACGATATGATACAAAACCATTTGCTGATGTAACAAATGTAAGTTATTTTAAAGATGAAGATGAAATTTTATTTGATTTAGGTACCGTATTTCGAATAATCGATATAGAATATGATCTTCATGAAAAAATTTGGAATATAAAATTAAAATTAATTGGTAAAAATGATAATAAATTACGAAATGTTTATGTTTCAATAAAACGTCTTTTTCCTAAAGCAACAACATTTATATCATTGGGTGTTATATTACGCGATATGGGTGAATATGATAAAGCTGAAAAATATAATTTAGAATATTTGAATACATTAAATGATGATAGTGAACATATTTCACCTATTTAGCATAACCAAGGTACAATAGCTGATATAAAATGTGATTATGATAAAGCATTATATTATTATCAATGGTCAATTGAATATGAATTGAGATCAAAATCGATTAATTATGCTGATCTTGCTGATACATATTCTGCTACAGGACAAATTTGTTCTAAGAAAGGTGATTATGAATCTGCAAAATAGATTTTTTCTAAAAGCAATCGACTTAAAATTACAAACAGTTGGATCACATGATTTAGCATTAGCACATATTTATTTACTTTTCGATAGTAATTATATTAGACAAAATAATTACCAGTTAGCATTAAAATATTATAATGACTGTTTGAATATACGTAAGTCCCTATTATCGAAAAATCATCATTCGTTAGCTGACGTAGAAATAAATATTGGTACCTTTTACTTTTATCAAGATAAGTCAGAAGAAGCTTTGAAACTGTATGAAAATGCAAAAAGAAATATTACCATCGAAACATCCTCAATTTATTATGATTCATTCAAACATCGCTGCTGTTTATGAAAAATTAAAGGAGTATACATTAGCTTTAGAACACTACATAATAGCATTCAATATTGCAAAACAACAATCATCAACGTTAATGCATCCAAAATTGATTGAATTACAAAAGAATATTGAAATTGTCAAGCTAAAATTAACGGTACAAGAATTTCATCTATCACTTACTTCATCGTCTTGATACGTCAATTTTTTTTGTTTTTAATTCATCGAGAAAGGCATGAATGATTTTCTTTTGCAAATATCACTTTCTTTCTCTCTATCTCTTGATAAATTTTTTCGAACATTGCGGCTTGTGGAACTTTTTTCATTTTTCAAAACTACAATTCATTGGTAGAGGTGAAACAACGTACTAAAAATGTGAACCAAATAATGATGTTTTTACAATTTCCGTACGCTTTCCATCGAATTTGAGATGTCATTTTGTAAAGCATTGAACTTGAGGTCTTGAAAGACCATCATCATCTCGAAAACTGAGGTGTTAGTCGATAGGTTTTCGGACGGCGGTGCTGAAAAGTTTTCGGAAACCCGGTGGACGGCGGATTAGTCACACCGCAATTAGAGTCTTCGACGGCGAAGGTAGTGAAAATTTTTTGTGATACATGGATTAATCTTTCGGATATTTGTACCCATGAGCAAAATAGCAAAGAAATGTCTTGATGCTGAAAAAGTTCTGATGGAACACTAAAGCTGCTGCTACAGATTGAAAGCTGTAATGATATACGAGACTACAAGGTATTATTTGGCAATAGAGGAAATTGGATTTGCGGCAACGGAGGTAGATTTTTGGCCTACGTTTCATTTTCGGTGAAAACTCGACAGATAACCTGTCTAATCTACACTGTGAGACTCTAACTAATGTGGGATCTTTTTTAAAGTGACGACCATCATTTGTTTAATAATGTTTGAGGATTTCAGACTATCGAGCTGCGGCTTTTATCGTTCGATAGAGCAACCTAGGAAGCTTCATTAGGGGTAAAACTTTTCCTCAACTCGAAACTCAAAGTTAATATGAGCATCAATTCCTCGTCGTTAGTTCTATCTAAAAATGTAGTTTTCAGTTTTCCACATCGCTTTTGCAAGCCGGTTAGAGCCACCTTTGACAAGAATGTCAATGTCTTTTTTATTTTTAGTGGAACCCGATCACATTCTGGATGTCTCTACTCATTTATATATGTCAATGTAATCAACTTTCTTCTCCGGTCTTCACGCGTATGATACGCCACGCATGATTCAAGGGTGACAATCTCAATGACTAGTGTGACAAAATCAGCTCAATTGGACCGCCCGTCATCGAGCAGTGAAACATGGAACGCTGCAAAGTTAGGAAGAAAATTTTGAAAGATTTCTTTTCCTTACATATTTATCCTTTTGAGTTGAACTTTTAGGTAATCAAGGCCACTGCTGGTGACAGCCACAGTAAAAATTTCAGTCCAATACGGCTTCACCCTTTCGAGAAAATGAAGATTCAAGCGCAAAATTAAAACTTTTGCTTATCACTTGAAAAATTCATAACTCCTGCTAGAAGCAACCCCGAGGTTTCTACAAAACTCATTACGAATCCTCGGTAACACTCAATAATACTTATGTCCAAGTTTTGAACCAGTTTCCTTCTGCTGATAACATTTCCTCAGAAGCTATTTTTAGAGTGACTTTACAAT